AAAAAAACAATCCAAATAGCTTTACTTTTTTTCATAATCACCATTTTCAACTTTTCCTATTTCATTATTCTGAAAAAAGCACTTCACGTGCGTCAGTTCACCACCAGCACCACATCCTCAACTTCCTGTTCAATATTTCTCCGTCGCAGAAAAAGACAAGTTTTGACCAACCCATAAAAGCTCTAGTGAAGTTCCTCGCCGTACAGGAAAAATCAAGGTCAGTGTCGTCGTTGCTGATTGCAGGCATTTCACTCCATCCGCTTACGTGTGTGTTTGAAGAGAGGGAAAAGAAAAAAAGAGAGAACACACAAACTGAAATCAGAGCAAAGAAGCAATAGAGTGAGTGAGAATTGGAATCCTCTTAACGACCTCTTTTTCTTCCTCTACTCATGTGATTTATAATCTTCACTCGTTTTCCCCCTCGTTTTCCATTAAGGAATTTGCTCGATTCTGAACAAAAAATTCTGTCTGCAATCACTCCCTTCATCCGCCTTTGAAGTGTGTCTACAGTGTTTGTTTACACTTTGTTGTTCAGTTTTGAAAACCAAAAAAATTTCTGCTGCCGGCAGTTGCTGTTTTGAAGTCTGAAGACTCTCGTAAGCGGTTCAGCAAGGGGAGAAAAAGGTTTCAACCAAAAGTTTCAGTTGTTGTTGCTGTACACGATGCAGGCAATCAAGTGCGTCGTCGTGGGCGATGGGTGAGTGCTGCTTCAGGTACAGTTTGTTTCAAAAAAGCTAACACAATTGGAATACTACTTTGTAGAGCCGTCGGTAAGACCTGCCNCCTTTGAAGTGTGTCTACAGTGTTTGTTTACACTTTGTTCAGTTTTGAAAACCAGAAAAATTTCTGCTGCCGGCAGTTGCTGTTTTGAAGTCTGAAGACTCTCGTAAGCGGTTCAGCAAGGGGAGAGAAAAAGGTTTCAACCAAAAGTTTCAGTTGTTGTTGCTGTACACAATGCAGGCAATCAAGTGCGTCGTCGTGGGCGATGGGTGAGTGCTGCTTCTTCAGGTACAGTTTGTTTCAAAAAAGCTAACACAATTGGAATACTACTTTGTAGAGCCGTCGGTAAGACCTGCCTGCTGATCAGCTACACGACCAACGCCTTTCCCGGAGAGTACATTCCTACTGTGTAAGTTAGNCTGCTGATCAGCTACACGACCAACGCCTTTCCCGGAGAGTACATTCCTACGGTGTAAGAATTTTTTTTTCAGAAAATAGTTTGTACAAACTGTTACTTAAATTGTCCTCTAGATTCGACAACTACTCGGCCAACATTCTCGTCGATGGAAAGCCGATCAACCTCGGTCTCTGGGATACCGCCGGTCAGGAGGACTACGACCGACTGCGACCACTCTCCTACCCGCAAACGGTACTACTGAAATGGCTTTTTTTTGTATAAAATAAAAACCTTTTATTTTAAAATTCAAAACTCCTTTTTCCCATCCTAGGACGTCTTCCTCATCTGCTTCAGCCTGGTAAACTGCGCCTCCTTTGAGAACGTCCGCGCCAAGTGGTACCCGGAAATCTCCCACCACTGTCCCAGTACGCCGATCATCCTGGTGGGAACTAAAACCGACCTCCGCGAGGACCCGATTCAGATTGAGAAGTTGAGAGAGAAACGGCAGAACCCGATCTCCTACGCCCAAGGTCTGGCGCTGGCAAAGGAAATCGGGGCGGTCAAGTACCAGGAATGCTCGGCCCTCACTCAGCGAGGCCTCAAATCGGTCTTTGATGAGGCAATTCGAGCCGTCCTCTGTCCTCGACCGAAGATGAAGCCCAAGCGGTCTTGTAGCATTCTCTAAAAAAGATTTTTTATGATTTTTCAGTATCCTGGATTTTGAGCTCAACTACTACTTGCGTTTATTTATTTTTCAGTTTCAGTACAAGATGAATTGGTTTTGCTCGGCTTCCTTGTAATAACGACTGTTTCTTTATTGTTTGTTTCAACTTTTTTGCTACTTCTCCTCCAATTAAAATGACACAAAGTTTTTTCCATCTTATTAAATTCTTTCTTTTGTTTTTCTTTTTTTTGTAGATCTAATTAATTTTATTTTAATGTTTTTTGGTGTTTTTTCAGGAAAAAATGTTCACCATCTCCGAATATTAATCGATTCAATTAAATTGAATTGTTGAGCAAAGTGCGCGCATTAATTTGCACACTAATTGAGTGGAAGCGGGGCTTTACTTGTTTAAAATTTTCTTTATATAAAAAGTTAGACCAAATTAAGTTCAGCCGAAAACAAGCAAATTTGTTGTCACAGCTGTCATATAAAGACAAAATTTAATTCAATTTAAGTGCAGTCAGGGCTTTGTGTGCTCCCTCAAGATTAAACAAGAGTGCAGTACTTTAAAAGCATTATTTTTTGTTGTTGTTCAAAGTCAACAAGTGGTTTCAATTAAGCTTGCCTAGTGAAAAGCAAGATAAAGAATGAAAATAATAGAAAACAAAGTCAACTTTGTTTCTACTATTTTCGGAAAAAGAAGGAAAATATTTTGTCATAAAAAGGCCGCAAAGTCAAAAACATTTTTGTTTTTAATTTTTTTATCTTACTGTCCTACAACAAACAACAAACACACTTTGCCGGTATTTAAAGAAAAAACAAATTTAAGCCAAAAGACTAATTTTTGTTTCATAAATTCCCACTGTTTGGTCTGGCAAAACATGTTATTCTGAAACTCCTTTCTCAAGCAGGCAATTTCTGAAACGCATCAGTTTTTTCCGGTGGCAGCAGCAGTGGTATTTGTATAGAATGGGGCAATTATGGGGTTATATAGAACCGCAAAAAGGAATTCTGGTGAGAAAATGCAATTTTGTCTGGTAAAGGAATATAAAAGGCAACCGGCACTAGTTTGCCCCAGTCAGTCTGTCAATCGTCGAATGTGCTGAACATGTGCTGATTTTTGAAACAAAAAATCAAGTTCAGTAAAAATTCAAACAAAACCAATGTGAACAATACTGAACTTTTTGTGCGTACTGCTGTTAAACTTGTTAAAGTTTTTAAAATTTTGTTAATTTTTTTAAATATTTTGCTACTGTTGAACATTTGCATTTGTTTAATTACTGTTACATCATTGATGTGCTGTTGAACAACCTCAATAAAAAACAACTTTCAACTTTTGTGAAGTTTTTTTGGTGAACAAAACGTCCTGTCCTTGAAAAGAAACTGAAAATGGACAATTCAGACTTAATTCAACTATCCTCTTTAGCCATCGCTGCTGCTGCATCTAGTCCCAGTCAACAAAAAGAAAAACCACTTTCAAAAAAGGTAATAAAAAGCTTCGTTTTTGAGCTTTTCTCTGAATTTGCAAATTTTTAAAGTTTTTCAGTTTTTGTTTAGCTTTTCAAAATTTTTTCTTTAGTTTTAATTCTATTGTCTTTCAAAATTGCAAAATTGATCAAGAAATATGAAACAAAAAAACTTGAAATTGAGGATCATCAACGCTGAATGTGGCCTTTTTTCTATCGCTGCAGTTCAATCAAAATGAGGATTCTCTCCTCTTTTTCAATTCTACTCCAATTTTCAATCGGAAAGAGGGATTAGTGGTGGGACAGAGGAGGAGGAAGAGGAGGAATTCCCAAATGAAAATCATTTCATTTCTCATCTCATTTCCCCTTCATTTTTTGTCAACTTTTTTTCCTATTTGTGGCTTTGACACTGTGCACTCAAATGTTATTTGGGGTTTTCTTTTACTTTCACTTTTACCATTTTTTCATTTTATTTATTTGCCTTCTTCTTCTAAGATGGAAAAAAGTTGATGGATTACTCACTTTACTGCAATAAAAATAATAAAAAGAGGCTAAAAACTGCCCACCAAGGTAATCAATCAATTGAAAAGATGGAAATTGAGAGTGAGGAAGAGAGAGAATTGTAGACCATCTGATAGAGAATATTCGTGGGGACTGACAGAATCTGCCCATTAAGACAAGAGGGTCCTTCTGTTGTTCTGTTGCTGGTTATTATTGCTACTTTGCATGTTGTCAAATCAACTTGCTCTTTCTTTGCTCTTAAAACTGCCGATGTCATCTGGTGCTCACTGCTTTTCACTGACCCACCTAAATTACGTTCATTTGAATTTTTTTTTATTTTGAGTTTTTGGGCTTTCCAGTGCTGATCTTGACTAATAATAATAATATTCAAAAAGCAATTTTGGCTCTGGTTTGGTTAGTCAAACCAAAAAAGAGAGAACAGCTGAATCGTAAATTTTGTTTATAGTTTTTGTTCTTGGATATAAAAACAATAACAGCAGCAGCAGCAGCAGCAGCAACAACAACAAAGTTTGGAGCACCTCCCAAACAACTTTTTTTTCTCTCCACTTCTTACTTTTTCATCTTATCTACACTAACTTTTT